TGTGGGCTTCTTTTCGTCCTTCCACAAGCTCAGGCTGCTGAATCAATGATAACTTAAGGTGAGGCAGCTCTCACCCAACTAGGAGAAGACACAACTGAACCAGCTTCTTAAATTTGCAGTGAGCTCCATCAGACAACTTTGAAGACTGAAAAAGATATAGCAAGATTCAAGAAGGGAGAAAATTCTATATCAAATATGTGTCACACAAATGTGGGTCCTCGTGACAGAACCTGATAAGAAAAATGGCTTTCCTCAATTCAGGATACCCTAGCCAGCCTTAGGTGAAAATGAAGGGTCAATAACTGCCAACATTTCACCATGGAGAAGCACCATGACAAGATGCAGGCACCCTCTTTTTCAAAGAAAACAGATACTGACACCAAACACAGCTCAGTTTTCTCAGCTGTGTGAGATTTTCTGCAGAGTATTCACGTTCTATGACTATCCTATGGCTTTTCCTGCAGGACATCTCTAGCCCAGGTCACTGAATTTGTGCCAAGAAGAGCACAAAGTTCATGCCTGCACCACAGTAATCCATCAAAACTAGGTCCTGGGAGCTGTTCCAGTTGTTCCACCATATCTCACTGCATTTTTGTAGAGAATCATAGCTTTCCTGTATGAATAGCCAGACTAAGGCTTCACATAGCTTAATATTCTGTCTACCAGTGAGCAAAAACTGTTTTGTAGAAAGCACCTAAGAAGTAAGGAAACACAGAAAGTTACTCTTCTCTGACTATCCTCTTTATCTCTTGGCCATTGCCAGATTACAGATTTCCTATTATCCTTATAAATAGAATAAGCCCAGCAAGAACATGTACATCAGAAAATATGACACAATTAGAAGAAAAGAAAGAAAGCTTTCCATCATGCAAGAACTTATTTATGGCTTCCATACAAAACTTTTCAACATCTACCTCATTTGACATTTTCTAAAAACTTCTCTGAAAAAGGGTCACGTAAAAAAAAGCTAGAAATGAGGAATAAATGTATTCCCTAACCTCTGCTTCTGCTTTTCATATGTGTTTATCTCGGTCATTCTTTTCTATCCTACTATGTAGCTCCAATAAAAAGTTTTCTCAGAGCATGGTAGTGATTGGAAACATTATTCAAGTACAAGAAATCATTACGAAAACCAAATCATACCAAACTGAACCACAACACTAGAAAACAAAGCACATATTCTTATGCCACTCTAGAAATCCCCAACACAAAGAAACAAACTAGATCCCAAAGAGGTTCAGACAAGGGCAAGAAAGATGACCACTGAGCTGAAATGGCATCACATTTCCTTCATACAAGGAAAAGTTCAATAGATCAGACCCTTTATGTTAGAAGGGAAGCAATGTAAATGAGAGCTGATAGGAGGCACAGGAATGGGTGTACATGCATCAGGTGTTTGGATCTCCTCCACGTGAAGGTGGCAGCTGATGGGATGAAAATGAAACAAAAGCAAAACACAAAAGTGAGGAGGTGGAGCTCACAAAGGTAGCACACAGGAGTGGTTGAGTTGTGGGCACTTTGCTTCAGGTACCTGTTGTTGCTAAAAGGTTACACAGGTTCAAGGACAAACTGAGCATGTTTATGGAACAGCAATGCATTGAGAACCAAGTATGGAAAAGAGAGTGAGACTTTGGAACACACATGTCCTGATCCTCCCATGATGCCATCCCAAAACCACAGTGATTCTCACCATGCCCACAAGAGTAACTTCCACGCTCTTCAGGGATGTGAATGCCATGAACAAGCTATCGGATTTTATCAGCAAGGGATACAAATTCATAGTGCCCCAGGGAACTGAAATGCTTATCTTTTAAATGGATCTTTCAAATCCTTATCTCCTCAAGGGAGAGAAGAGGAAGAATTTGTTGAATTGGAAGATTTTACTTTTTTCACACCTAGAGTAATCCCAGACCTAATGAGGATTGAGATGACAGGGTGATTTTCTGAACATCGCTAGGTCCAATCTCCATCATCATATATATAAACACATTGAAAATAATCTACTCAAAGTTGCAGAAGAGCAATACTCTTGCAGAAGAGCAATACAATTGCAGTCAGCAATACTCAACCATTTAGAGCTAACGGTGCCCAAGACCTGGAAGATCTTGTAGGCGCATGGGCCAAGACACAGGAGCAAGGACTGCTGTGGGGCAGCTAAGGCTGCAGAGTCAGACCAAAGCAGAGGTCCAGGATGGTCCAGACCATCTTCCAGGACAGTCTGTAGTCATGCGAGGGAAACAAGCATTGCTGTGGGTACTACAGCTTGGCAAACGAATGCTGGTGATCTCATACCACGTTGTAGATCATCATTCTCCTACATAAAGGTATTCCACATAATGTAGGGTAACTATTTTGGGCCTAGTTATGACTGATAATGAATTAATTCCTTTGACTTGAAGTTGGCGGTTGCTTAGTGACCACAAATCATGACCTGATTATATTTAGCATAAGAAAAGGGAAGATAGCTTCAACCAGTCTTATATACATGTAACACTTAAGGTTAATTTCTCAACACTGAACTTAAGTTATATTATTTCTTCCATATCTATTTTTAATGAAAATCATGATTTTTAAAAAAATAGCAAACCAAAAAAAGTTATAAAACCACAATTATGAAATATAGCTAGACATCTATTTGGAAAAAAGTGACAAAAGGAACACAGTCATTGGAATTGCAGAGTACATTTACATTGTAATTATGGAAAGTAATTGAAATCAATATGAAGTTACAATCTGAAAATTGATAAAGGGAGCTAAAACATGAAAGAAACACAAATGGCTTGCAGGATGGAAGAAACTTGAAAAAGCTGTTTGGTTGCTCTGGAGATAGAGAAAAATATTCTAAAAGAAGCAGGAAGAGGCACTTACATCACATCATGATGATAAAGTATAAGGAGTTACTAATTGACTGAAACAAATACTTTAAAACTTACAGGCTAAGAAAACTATCTCAAAAAGATCGGTCAGGAAAAATAAAAAGAAACTGACAGGGGATTCAAAAATGAGTGTTAATACCACTGTATAAATTTTATGGAAAATGGGTAATGTCCTGCAGCCTAGTGAGCATCTGTAAAGGGAAGCAGCTGGCCCTGGTGACCCAGCATCCACACTGTGCACATTTTAGGGCATTTAGCTTCAAACTGCATCTGCCCTGGACCCACAGGCTATGATGGGGGGCACATCCAGGGTGTTTCTGCACCACGTCTCCTGAGTTCCCTTCACGGGAAGATAATCCAGATAATCCAGGAAGATGATCCTGCCGCCCAGCCTTGCTCTGCAGCAAACCCGAGAGCTGCCGCGTGCCCAGGGGGATCAGCTGCGTTCCGGGGTGTCGCACAGAGAGCTGCAGCCCCCGCACGGCGCCGCTTCCCCCAGCGCTTCTGGCTGCGGCCGCTAACGCTCATCTCACAGCTGGACACGCGCAGCGTAACGTGGGCATCGTGGAGAAGACGTCTGCAAGAGCTGCCATCCCCGTGCTCCGTTACGCCACCCTCCTCTGCCAGATTCTCAGCTTTGGCATTTCTTCCGCTATATTGATAGTACTATCAAGGAAAAGGAATAACAGACAGGTTGTCCCCTTCTTCACACTGAGTAACGCCAATCTGCCTTCCTCCAGTCAGCTACTTGTACTTCTGGATTCTTAACAAACTTAAAAAATAATTTCTCCTTGCTTGGAAAGTTCATTTGTTAGTGCCACTGACCCCAGGTGGATACCATCTGGACCTGCTGGTTTGTGTATGATTAGTTTTGCAACTGTTACCTGACCTATTTTATACAAACAGCTATACCTGAAACATGAACAATTTATTCTTACCTGACATAATTTCATGTCCTTTCTCCTTACACATTTTCAGTTTAAAAAAAAAAAAAGTCACTCACAGATACCAATTCAATTACACAGTAATTTAGGTTGAGAGGAAACTTTGGAGGTTATGTAGTCCAAACCCCTCTCAAAGCCAAGCCAATCTCTTTTACTTTGAATTAACATGCTGGCTTTCTTGCAAGCTCTATTCATTGACATAGTTATAAGGAATTTTTAGGCTTTTTCTGTGCCCTGAATCTTATATTTTCTCACAAAATTTCAGCAGCTGCTTATAGCAATCAGTGATGGCTAGCTAAGAATAGAAGAGATACAAGGATATCTTAAGGCCCAGCTTTCTAGAACCAAGCCCATTACTCACTGGCTGTTTCAAACTCCAAGAGTCTTTTTTTTTATTTGCTGTCCTGATGACTCCTGTGCTTTCTGTGGAGGTGCCTGTAGAGAACAAACTCTCCTACGAGATAAATCACTTTGGCACCTCCATTGCTCTAGAGAGGTCTGGACCACTAAACTTCTCAGAAGAATTCAAGAAGACTCAAGAGGAAGCCTGACTTCACAGATGACCTGAAACTTGGTTTTGCCTGGGATATGACACATAGCATGATGATATCGAAACCACAGAGGGCTAGAAGAGATGTTTCAAGGAAAGAGACTCATCAGAGAATACAAAAACATTCCTCTGAAATAAATGATACGTACCCAGAACGGATGCTACCCCATTTCCTTCACCTACAGAACATCATGGGGGGGCAGCTTCACAACCATTCCCACTGCTAAAACAAAGGACACATCTCCTTTCTGCTCCAAGAACAGTTACTAGCCTTAGCAGGAAAGCCTCTCTAGTAAGAAGTGGCATCAAGGATGCAAAGAGAGAACAATAAATAGGAATTTTAAAGAAGAGCTTTCCAGACTTACTCCAAACCAACGATTTGGCTAATTCTTTAGCTGGGCTGGCTCTGCCATTACAAGCAAATACTGCACTGAAAAAAATCCCCTCAATACCAATGGCTTCAGGAGGAAAGCAGGTCTGAACTGCCAGCGCTCCGAAGTAGCTGCAAGCTGCAGCTTCTCCTGATCACGGCAAGCACCCGGGCATCACCATCTGCTAAATTAGCCCAGGACTCTAGAATAGGAGTAGAAGGAGAGGAAGTGGGGGGAGAAAATAAAAGGTAAAACTCACCAACATCGGACTCTTTGTGGGTTTTGATGATTTCAGCCAATTCAAAATTTCCTGCAATGATGGCCACCTGAAAAGAGAGGAAGGGGAGACAGTTGAGTGGTTCTGAGCAGCACTAATCCTGCGCCTGCTTGCACAGATTTTGCCATATGGACTCATAACAGCTGCTTCCCATGGGGGTGCAGAGCCAACAATTGTTCTGCCTCAGCTAACCCAGTCAGTAACTCCAAGGAGGAAATATGCTCTCAGCATCGCAGAACGCGTGTGGACGGCTTGTGCAACGGGAGGGTGGTGAAGGGCCCAGGAACAACCATTCCCATCTGCTCAGGAGTTTGGTCGTGATACTTCTGACACCAGCGAGGAATCCATCTCATGTCGGCTACGTACTGACAAGTTCTGAAGCCTGGAGTTTTGCACTGAATCCCAGTTTGCTGACGAAGCAAGGCAGCTCACCAGGAACTGAGCTCTCTGCAGGTCTTACCTGACAGCCCCGCAGACTAACGCCCGCTCCGGGCTCAGGAACCACTTCCACCCAAAAGCTGCTGCAGCAGCTTGCTCAGAGAAGCCAGAGGATCTTACACCAACATTAGGTATTGCTTTTCCCACCACCCATCCTGTAGCTACTCTTCAAATGGAGAATCTTAAAAAAAAAATCAGAAGAACAAGGAAAAGGGAAGTAGTTGAGTGTGGAAAAGCCCACAGACCAACAGTTGTGCCTGCTTCCAGGAGCTGCTTCTGCAGGGGCTCATGTCCTGGGAAACTGTGCAACACCATCCGGCTCCAAGAGGTCGGGCTAACATACAAGCAAGAGAAGAGAGACTGAAGCACTGCTCTCCCGAAGCAACTGTCCACTGGATGCATTAATGGCAGTGCTTGAACTCTGTTGTTTTTTTTGTATCTTTGGAAAAAAGGAAGTATTGCATCATAGTCAGTAAGGCAGAACAATCCTTTTTTGTTGTTTTTTTTCAGAACAAAGCCCCAAAGTATTCTTTCAAAATGTCAAAGAAACACAATAAGGTGGATAGGAATACATGAAATCCGTGGTTAGACGGTTAAGCGGGGAGAGCTCTGCAGGGCTGAACTGGCTGGACCTCGAAACGCAGCCGCCGTCTCAGCCCGTCCCGGTGCTCACAGCGAACCCCGGCCCCATCCCCGCTTCCCTCCTTAGCACTGCGTCTGCACTCAGCAGCACCCAGAAGAAGCTGGGAAGGAAATGCAGCTGGACCTGGTGGATTCCAGGCCTAAACAAGTGTTTGCAGTTGGAGACGGACAGTAACAAGCTCCTTCCCTCAGTCCGGAGGCATCCTGTGCTCCCGATGCCCATCCAGCACCATCAGGAGTCCTCGGCTGAGGCACGAGCCCTTAACTGACCCCGCGGCAGCGCAGGGGGTCTGTTACCGCCTGCCCCAGACCTGCTCCTGTCCCCGGCTCTGCACGGTGGTCTCCAGGTGCACGTCCCTTCTGTACATCCACAAAACGCCCCGCAGAGGTTTCCCAAAAGCAAGTCACTGGGAGAAGGGAGCTGACATGCAGAAGGCATTTCTTTCTTCCACACGCAGTGGTTATATGGAAACAAACTCCTTTCTTAACAAGATAGGATCATAGAATCATAAAATCATAGAATGCTTAAGGTTGGAAGGGACCTCTAGGGATCATCCAGTCCAACCCCTGCACACACAGGGTCACCTAGAGCACGTGGCACAGGACTGCGTCCAAGCGGGTTTGAAGATCTCCAGAGAAGGAGACTCCACAACCTCTCTGGGCAGCCTGTTCCAG